AGGGCCAGGGCCTTATGACACAAGCTTCCTCACTGAATTCTTTTTCAGCTCTAGCGGGGTGCCATTTCTTTATAACTCAGAGACAAAGTCATCTGGAGTACAGACCCAATACCCCGAGCTCATTTTTGTGAACCTTCTTTTGCAACCTAGAAGGCCTTTTCAGTTAGTGAAAGAAGCGGTCAAAACTCTTGTTAGTATGCTGTTCAGTCAAAATCCTGCCTTCTGATGGGTTCCACATAGCCAGTCAGAGCAAAACTGGGAGAACAAGGCAGAATGATCCTCCCTTAGTTCCAAGAGTGCAGGCGTAGGAGAGAGTTACACCATGAGTTGGAAGGAAGGTGGGCTTCCAGAAGGAGCATGAAGAACAGAGAAGAGCCAGGAGAATGGGCTTAGCAAGGCCAACTGTGATGGCATGGAATTATGGAGGCCAGGCTCAGGGAGATAAGCGTTTTCTTAGCTCCCCAGAGGACTGTGGGAGGAACAAGAGGATGAGACTGGCACCTCCCTGAGGAATTCACACTGTTGTGGCTGGAGGGCTTTTGGGGCTGGGGTTTCAGTCTGGGAAGATTCTTGCTAGAGGTTGTAGCTAATAAACATAGCTGGACTGAATTGGCATGGTCTCTTGGAGTTCCTTGGGCTAGGCCTGACACCAACTGAAGGAGCAAAAACAGTGCAGTGGCAGTGCAAGTGATGGAGCGAGGATTTGCGGGACCAGCAGATTAACTCCTTACCTGTGTTCTTGTATGGATAGAAAGGTGGGATGGAACCATCTCTCCTGCTTGTGAAACAGCCTCGCATGCACTCCCAGACAGTTCTGTGTTGATATGGAGACACAGGCACAAAACTAGACATGTCGCAAGCACAAGATAGTTGCTAGATACCTACTTCTTTGGGGAGCTTGATTTGTGGCAATTAATTGCAGCCCCTCCCTGGTTGTGCAGCTGAAATTTGGCAAAAAAAGGCTGATTATCAACAGCACATGTTTTGCTACGCTTGCCATATGGAAATGGAAGAGCCAGGTTTCTGAATAGGAAACCCTAACCCTTAAAAACAGCCCAGGATCGTGCCATTGAAATTTGTGATTTTGGAGGGGGTTTAAGGGTAGGAATGGAACCGGTCTGATTCGGATTTCCATCACCTTTACCTCCACCAGGCCCTAACATAATTTGAATCCCACCCCTACATCATAGTCCCCTGCAGCCTTTCGAAGGTTGGGGAATTGAGTTGTGGCTCGAGCCCCTCAAACATCCATCCCAGCAGACTGTGCTATTAAGCTATTAATCTAAAGTCGTAAATTGCATTGTTGATTTAATTATATACACCCTATACAGTTTCCTCATATTCGTTTCCTCTGTCTGTGACCTAAGACAAGAAGCAAGTGTGCAGTATTGATTGTTACATGCGACCAGGGTAGCTATACATTCTAAATATTTCAGTTTAAAAGGATGTTGTATCAATAAAAGAGCCATTCCAGGCAAAGTGTGATCTAGTTGCCCCCTCCTATGGCCTGTAGGATGGAGAAAAGCCAAAAATATATTTTGCCCTGGACGTAAGAATTCTCAATAGATAAGAATAAATGGGGTGACTTTTTTCTTTATTGCTGCATTCACTTTCTGCGTGGAGATACCAGTTTGAAACATTGAATCTTGCATTTCAGTGATAATGCTTAGCATTTTTATCAGTCTTGCAAATCAGACCTTAAAAAAAAACAAAACAGCCCACCTCCTCCAGGATATCAGTAGTGATCTAAGTCACTTGTGACAATTCAAATTTACTGCATTGTCATCTAGGTTGCCTGCCTGGAGACAGGGGAAGGGCTGGAGCGCAAAGAAAAACGCGATCTGCTTAGTGGTTGAGTCACGCTTTGCATGCAAAGCATCCCGTATTCAGATCTGGTGCAAAGAAAAGCCGGTGCAGACAAATGCTGAGAACCAACGGCTTGGCTCTGGGCAAAGCAGTTTACTCTAAGAGCTCAGGGTAGCCTACAACCCCGTGAGGTAGGTTAGGCTGAGAGATCGCGACAGGCCCAAAATCCTCTAGTGAACTTCTGCGGCCGAATTTGGGTTCGTACCTGGGCGTTCCAGTACTTCTCCAACAACCACATCACACTAGCCCTCTTGATTTCAAGTATTCCTTACAATTACTCCAGAAATAGATCAAAATTATTTCTATTCCCTGTCTACAGGGGAGGGAGGAGGCTCTGAAGTTGAGAATTAGCGACTTGCTAAAGAAAACCACATGGCTGGACAACAGAGGAGGAAATGAGTTGAGACAGGATGAGATCTCTGCCTTTGACCTTCACTCTTTGAGGCAGGATGAGGGTCCACTTCAAGGGACTGTTTGTCACAGAGTTTGCCCTTGCATGGTTGACTTTAAATTAACAGAGGAATTGAGACCTTTGGGGAGGGGAGAGAGGAGTTTCAACCCTTACTCTTCCGCCATTGCTCCAAATGTTTGGTGTTCCTACTGTTTGTAGGAGGAGGAAAGCTTCCTTTGACACCAGTGGGAGCTTTTTTCCCACTGTGAATGGTAAATAGGATGAGGACCATGTTGATTGGGACCCCACTGGGTGGGGGGATGTGTTAAACTCCTGCCCTCATACATGCCAGAATAGGAGCTTTTCTTAGAGGCAGTTAGCCTGATACCAGTCTGAAGGCAGCTTTGTGTGTTTAAGAAGCACAAGTGAATCACACTTCCCTTTGTGTTCCTAGGACAAACACATGCATGGAAATGCGTCAAGTCTTCTCTTCAAGTGCTGGGGGGGATATTTGTAAGTTCGCGATTTGCAAAGTGCTCCTAAAAAGCAGAAACAGGAAATGCAACTTCCTCTGAGTTACGGTGCAAAGCCAACTTGGCCAACTGACCTTACGGCCTGAGTGAGGGGTTCTTTGGTGGGTTGCCCCACTTTGGAATCTCACCACAGAAGTGCCTATTGCCTACCCGAAGCCTTCATGGTTAGAAGCACAATACAATCTCTGTACAGGTGGGAAATTAAGGAGTTGTATAACAACATTTGAGTCTAATTGAATGACATTTTGGTCTAATTTAACTGATACTTTAACTTTCCATCCACAATTAAAGTTTCTTTGGTTACCATGTGGCATGGTACAGTCAAAGGACTGTCTTTTGCTTTTCCTTGGCCTGTCGATCCTTTCATTCACATCTTCTTCAGTATTGTAAAAGACCTGATTTCAGTAAAGGGAAAGGCTGACTCTGAAGACTTTCTGCTCTAAAGCGTCCTCCTCTGTCCTCCATCAGAGAACTTTATGGTCTTATTTATACTCTTGGCAAATTGCTTTTGAACCAGAACAAGGTAGCTGGGCGTGTAACACAGTACTGCATCCCCTTTGCTTTTGTTTGAGAACTTCTACACCAACACAAGTTCCTGGAAGACAGGGAACATTTACGCAGCAGCTAATTGAAGCAAATATCTAAAGGATTCAGGTCTGCAAATAAGTAATGTCATTGCCAAAGCTGCTTTTGTTTCTACTATGCGGGTCCTTTGTTGTACAAACTAGTATTATTCCTTCAGTAGAAGAAAAATCTTCCTAACAAACTAGTCTTGTTGGATAGTTGCAGTTGTGGACTGGCTTCTAAGAAGTTGAGCAAATGCAGAATTCTCCAATGGCTTACGGTGAATGCTCGTCCACAGAGATAAACATTTGCAGCTCTCAGCAAAACCCTGCTGAAGGTGCAACGATTATTTAAGGCTCTAGTCCATATTCTTTTGGAGCCACAAGGGAAACTGTAAAACATTATATTTAGATGCTCAAAAAAAAAAAAGAAAAATCAGCATATCGCTTGATTCTAGCTAATGATTGCAAAGGTATCAACCTATTTATATTAAAATATGTGCTTATTATTGTTTTGATCAGTCTCTCATTCTGTCCTACAGCACATATGGTTTATGCAAATTGTACCACAATATAAACTATGAATTGGATCAATAACAAATGTCTTCCCTTTCTCCTGCCTCGTTTTGTGGGTCCATTTGGATAGGATCAGTCTGCCCCTCTCAGTCATATCATTATCATCAATAACAGATACATAATGGAGAAAAAGAAAAGCCAGTCCACATGGCAACAGCTTCATTTCTGATTTGATGTTTGTCTTTTCCTGATTTTTGAATGTGTAATAGGCTATTTCTATCTTTATTTGCAGTGCCAGAAGAGATCTTTCACAGGGAAATCATAATGCTCGGCAGAGTGCGTACAATATTTCAAGTCTCTGTTCATATCTTGCTTCATTAATGGATGGAGGAGATAACAACAGGAGACAAAAGGAGGACGCATTTCTGCAAACTTAGGATAATCCTGATTAAAATGCAGAGGGTAAATACAGCTTCAGGTCTAGAATCTGATTATAGGATTAAAACGAATGAAAAACCGCTGTGTATTTGAATTACAAAGTTCCAATCAATATCATCCTTTGGTATTTTTCAAAAGGAAAATAGAGTGAGTGAATAATGAGGGAAAGGCAACGTTATATCAAAGCTTCCATTGCCATTTAAATTTTCATGACTCTCTTATCATCTAATCAGAATGTTAGCAGAGTCCTCTGTGTGTGTGTGTGTGTCCACTGTTTTGGTTTTTTTCTAGTGCTGTGACTTCCACAGAAGCCTGCTTTCTTCATAATGTGTTCAGTCTTTGGATTTCAATCTGTTGTTTATCTGATGAGCGTTCACTGATTTGGCCACCCAGCCGCTCAGATAGTTTCTAGTAGAGCAGGATAGAGGCTGGGAGTTGCTGGGCTGTCATGGCAAGAACATGCCCTGTGAGTATTATACCCCACCATCTTTCTGTTGTGACCCACCCCTTCTGTTGGGGACTTTCCTGATCATTTGGAGCTTGGATCATTTGCCTGAGCAAAGAGGCTCTACAGCTTTAGATTCCAACAGATCTAGAATCATTAAAGAACTCCATATAGACTTCTTCGATAAGGCTTAGGGTAATTGGTCCATCTTGAGTCATTTAAGGATTGGTCCATCTTGAGTCATCGAAATGGTTCAGAAAAACCTGGAGGGTACGTGTTGAAACATTTGAGATATTTGTTCTGCTAAAGGCCCCTTTGGGGGGGGGGGGGAAGAAGCCCCATATAGACTTTTGATAAGAATGGTAATTTACTCTGCTATAGCCATCCAAACATTTTAGAAGAAACTTGAAGCAACCTACTGAAACATTAGAGTTATTTGTTCTCCTGAAGCTCCACACTGAAAAAGCCAGAACAAATCTTGAGTTCTTTTGTGGTGGCCACAATGCCACCCAAAAAAGACTGCAAGAGATAGTCATATAAGTATCATAATTGTTAAAGTCTAGAATCATATATTATTACAATTTTCATTGGCATCTCAGGGCTAATGTTGACCTTATCTCCCATTGATTTCCAGTGTGAAGTATAAAAGATATGTCAAGGAATAAGAATCTTAGCAGTGGAGTTACAGTTTTCCTTTTTTATTAAAATGTTCTGCTCTGACCCTAACTTCCTGGAGATCAGTGTTCTCCAGATCTATTGGATTTCAATTCCCATTACCACCAGCTAAATGTGAAGAATGTCAAATTGAAGAAGACTGTTCTTCCTGCTTTTAAGAATACAGGATGAGGGGTGAGTCGGGCACATTTTCTGCAATTCTTTGGCGCTCTCCATGGTCCTGCAGCTTCCTAACAGGACGGCTTAGCGTTATGCACTGCACTGCTTAATGATGTGGGGTTTTGTCGTATTGAGGAAAAATAGTCATTGGAGAGTCATTTTTTTAAGGGCAGGTGAGGAGGCCTACCAGCTCTTTTTTGTGTTATGTGCCCACTGTTGCTCTCAGCAGATTTTAATCCAGTTTCAAACATGTCTGTGCTGGAGGGTAAATAGGATTCTCCCAGCTCTTCAAGTCATGCTTTTTTTAAGTTGTCCAGGAAAAAACAAGCTTTATGCAATTGCATTTTCTCCACCTCTAAGTGCTGTGTCATACTGATGATCAGCAAAGGTGTCATGAAATGCAGGCAGGTTGAGGAATGTCCAAGCAAATATTCCTTAGAGGTAGAGATGTGCTTCAGGTCACACAACCAGCCCACAGGAATGCTTTCACTTGTATCTCTCTCGTTTATGCTCTACCTTTCCATCAAGTAGCTCAAGGTGATCTCATGTAGCTTCTGTCCCACCAACTCTCAAACAAGCCAGTCAGTTGAGCCAAGAGACAGCGGTTTGCGCCGAATCAGCCACTGAGCTTTAAAGATGAAAGAGGGTGTTAAGCATAAATGTTCCTGATCCAACAAAAACTTTCTGTCTGATATGTGAGGTGGGAAGATTGGCAGGAAGGCCCAGGCCAACAAATAGTCTTCTCTGCACAGCATCCCCTGAATGTGACAAAGTGATTGCCCAACAGAAGCCTTGTCTGGAAGTATCTCAAGACAGGTTTGTGTCTTGCTGCCAGTTTGGGGATTTTGTGGGATAGTTTAACTATTAACTATTTTAATATCTGCTTGACGTGTAAGGCTTGCTGACGACCCAACTAACTCATACCTGCAGAAAAGAGAATATGCCTTTGGAAACAAGAGGAAGACATGCCATTGGGGTTGTGTGATACGGGGCTGGAGAAAAATTAATCCACAACTTTTAGATGTTACTTCTATAATATTTATCCTTTTGAAATAAGTATTGTAGGTAATGTTTCTCTCTTTTAGAACAACTTATAATTAATATCACATGCAATGGTTAATGTGGCATAGAGTGAAAAGTCAGGCTATCCTCCCTGGTTTTCCCCAACCTGGCATCTGCCAGATGAACAATGACAACTCCCATTACCCCCTATCATCATGACCATTGACATCAGTTTGAGAAAAGTGGTAATAATACCAAAGGAAATAAGTGAAAGGACAGGCCCATCTCATGTCTAATATACCTTGCCTTTTATCCAATGTAAACAGAGTTTTGAATGTGTTTCCTTGACTTTGCAACTAGTAGGTGAGTCTGTTTTAGACACTGGCAATTAATGTCCTTTTCTGTTTCAGAGAGCCGCATGATTTTGGACGCTTTTGCTCAGCAGTGCAGCCGGGTTCTTAGTCTTTTAAATTGTGGAGGAAAACTTCTGGACAACAATCGCACTCAGCCACTGACTTCCTGTGTGAAACAAGAAAGCATGGCTTTTAATGAAAGACCAGAGCAATGCCAGCTTGGGAAAATGGTCCACAGTCAGACCTCCGACAACTTAGATCTAGAATTGCAGTACATGCATAAGAAGCAGCAGACCTCAGCTTTTCTGAGGGTATTTACTGATTCTCTTCAAAACTATTTGCTTTCTGGAAGCTTTTCCTCTCAGAATGCTTCCTCAGCTAGTGATTTTGGCCATTTGGCAGACATGGACCCACTTTCCACCTCTCCAGTTCATACTCTAGGAGGATGGACTTCTCCAGCAACTTCTGAGTCCCACGGCCACCCATCTTCTTCTACACTTCCGGAGGAGGAAGAGGAGGAGGAAGAAGGCTACTGTCCTCGTTGCCAAGAGTTGGAGCAGGAGGTTATTTCATTGCAACAAGAAAATGAAGAACTCCGAAGAAAATTGGAGAGCATTCCAGGTAACGTAACACAGTTGAATGCGGTGTGCAGGATGAGCAGCCTTCTAGTGCTCAGGGACACCACTTCACATCTTCTGATCAAAGACAGGAGTAGCAAGGGTGATTATATGAAGTAATGCAGCTACGTGATGCACATGGCCACCAACAGATTATTTTTTCTGCACTGGGGGAGGATTTCTGTTTTATAACTACATTTTTTATGGCTGGCCCAGGTGTTGCCATGTATTTTCTACCTCTTCAGAACATCAGAAAAGCTCTACTGTGTCAGGCCAAGGCCCCTCTTAGTTCAGCATTTTATTTCTCACAGTGGTCAGCCAAAGTCCTGTGAGGTGCTTGTAAGCAGGGGATTATCTCCCCCCCGACATAGTTGCCCTGCAACTAGTATTTGAAGGCACTGAGTTCAAGAGTCAACCTGTCCTCCATAAATATATCCAACCTCCTTTTAAATCATACAAGTTGGTAGCCATCACCATGTAATGAATTAATGGAATTTGTAAGTAAAATTCATCAGTACAGTGAGAAATTGTGTGGGGGAGGAGCTCCAATGATTGTCAAAACAGACTGAGGCCTTAGGTTGCTCATCTCTGTTTTAGAGGCATGAAGGGTCAGGCCCAGTGATTGACACACACAGAGATTTTTGGTCTTCTTTACTAAAACCACCCACATCATTGAACCTTCTGTTAGTGAATTTACATGTAAGAGTCAACATCACCACAGTTGTGTGATCTGTTTCAGCGGGTTTAAAGAATTAACTCACACTTACCCAACCTGTGGTCCTCCAGTGGTGTTGAGACTACAGTTTGTAGAAAGAGCTTGGCACATCTCAGCTCATTTGGACAACAAGAGATTGTGGATGATTGAAGGGCTTCTGATGAAGCAACGTCTAATCCATGGAAGGTTATGGATTAATGGTAGCTTTTAAGATGCCGTAAGACACTATAATATGCATTTTAAAATATTCTTTAAGCTTAGTGTCTCATGTTCATACATGATAAGAGAAAAGTGGTATTCAGAATCAAATGGTCCAGTCCAATCTCCTTTCTCCCCTGTTCCTCTGCAAGGATTTGAATAGTACAGTCATAATTAATTGTACACTGCATTTTCCATAGATAGATTGTGCATGCAGCAGACAGTTTGGCTCACACAATAAATTTAAATAAAGTCACCACTTGATCTAAACAGTCAAATACAAGAGTGCAAGACAAAATTTGCAGTCTCAATATTACAATCACGGAATGATTCATACCCTTCTGAGAGATACAAACACAAGTTCCCTTGCCCATATCCAAGCAAGAAAAGAAGAAGAGTGAAGCAGAATAATTTAAAGGCACTTGAGGTAGCCAACTCTCATACAACAAGAGTAACTCTTCTGCAACAGGTTCTCATACCTGAACGAGCAGCAGCTTAGCCTCAACTTTTTCAAATAAATCCCACCTGGATTGTATCTAGCTAGGCAAAGACTCAGAAGAGAGAAGGAATAGAGAAAACCCCACCCTTTGCCAAAAATGGGGCAAGACAAATGGAAATACTCAAACCCAAGTGACAAACCGAGTCTCATCCCTCCCCCGGGGCAATCTCTCTTCAGTGCTTCATTGTCTTTTCTCCCTCTAGTTTTCTCTTTAGATCTTTATTTCCTGGATCATAGACTCTCCATCCCATCAACCTCTTCTCAGTATCTGAGCTTTTCTAAAGGAGCAGTAGGGAGCATTCACACATCTTAAAGGTGACAAGGTTGAAAAACACTGGATTAGACAAATTGAGAAAGGGCAGGTCCAGTCATGTTCAAGGATGGCTGACATCTGTTAAGCAGGGGCTGGGGTCAATAAGCTCCTTTCGTAAGACGAACGATCACTCTTTCCCAGAGAGTTCTGGTTCATCCCTCTCCAGAGAAAACGTGCTGAACTAAATGGATTAAAATATGGAAGGTGCTTTCATCTGAATGTCTGAAAGGGTTCGGGCTTGACTGCCTAGTTGGCTTCTTCCAACTCTATGTTTCTTAGCCTTTTCATTCTAATGGCTGTAAGAGCTTGTTCTGAAAATGGGACCTGTGCTAAGCCCACAGGAATGAGCACATAGTTCAGCAATCCAGGCGTGGATACCCACAAGGCAAGTACAAGGGATGACCCATGAGTAATAATGCAATTACACCCAGGCAACAGCTTCCATACTTGCATCTGATACATAATTGTGGCATTTGCGATATTGCATCATCGCACACATGTCATCACTTTGGCATCATTGCAGTTTCCAGCAGATGCTGCTGATCCTGGTTTGTAAATTGAAACCTCCCTTTTCCAAGGAGGATGGAGTACAGTTGGAGCTTGGATACTTCTTCCTTCTTCCCCTCTGTACATGATTTCCCTCTACTTCTTGGTCTCCACTAATCTGTGGTATTTGAAGGACTAAAGGCTGGTACTTCATTCTCTAACAGGTTTTGTTCTTAATCTAATAAGCAAGGCATGATCGTGGGAACTGTCTTTTTTACAGTGCCCTGCCAAACTGTTCTAGATTACTTGAAGACGGTCCTTCAGCATCATAATCAGCTGATGATTCCGCAGACAGTGGAGCAGCCAGCAGAGGTAGGACATGATGGTGATAAGTGTCATAAATGGAAAGATTTGATAAATATGAATTCTCAGAGGAATAAGTCAGTACATGATGGTTGAATATGCTTTTCACTTCTTTAAAAAATGTGAGTTTTTAAAATCAAGGTTCTTATTTCTCACGTGCAACACATTAGATTTATGGGGTCCTGTGGACCAACAGAGGTTCTGTCCAAGAGGTCTTCATCAAGTTTATATGCCCTGTCCCTATCGAATAGATGGCTTTATGGAACTGCTGTATTGTTGCATGCGTAAGTGTGCAGAAATATTTAAGTTGGCCTCATTCAGTCAGTCAGTGCATAGGATGGATTCTGGGGGAAAGTCTACTTATATAGGCATCACTACTGATAAGGATGGATACCTGACTAATGCAGAGCACCCATTGTTACAGCTCGCTACCAATTTAATTATAATGCATAGTCTCTTTCAGCCTGGGCATTTCTGTAATATATAGAATTTGGTGCGCTCGGTTAATTGCTTCGTATTTGCTAGGAATCCGCACAGGTGCAGTGTAGTAAATTCTGATTTTTACTCTGGTGCTTGTCTGTTGATTATCTATTTCTATTATTTGTATCCTATACAATTATAAAACTTTAAGTGGTTCACAAGACTTAACAAATCCTGGCTATGCCAGAAGGCCCGGGGGCCGGATGGGGGCTCGCATCAGTGGAAGTGGCTTGTGGGGTAATTGATTTTTTAAAAAAACCCATCTTGAATATCTTTAGTATTTATGTATAGGGTTTGTTTTTATAGTGGATTTTTACGGATTGAGTAATTTAATTATTTATGGGGTATTTTCATTGTTTCTGGGCTTTTGATTTTTAATTGTGAGCCGCCCAGAGTCACCCGTTGGGGGAGATGGGCAGCATACAAATTTAATGATAAAATAAAATAAATAATTAAAAATAACATAAAAGGTCCTACAAAAGAGGAGACTGTGTCAATAACTAATATGAAACCAAATTGGCCAAATTAAAAGAGCCCATTAATGAGCAAGTTGTGGGCAAAGGGCGGATGTCAATCTCTGAAGGGTTGATGGAAGAGCTCTGTTTTAACAGCTTTCTTGAAGAAACTAATGTGGTGGCCATCTAGAACTCTATGCGCCAGAGGGCCCGAGGAATGATGGAGAATCAGTGCTTCCAAGCCCCACCCGCTTCATCTCCCGGATCTCCCTCCTATGCAGAATAAACAAGCTACTCAAAGTCAACCTGAAGAAGACAATCCCACAAACATCCTTGGTGCACGCCCTGTAGGGCTTTATAGATTAAAACCAGCACTTTGAATTGGCTTGGAAACCAAGGCAGTGACTGTAACACTGTGTTTTGCTGTTGAACCAGTTGTGGCTGGCCTCTGTATGGATTGCTGTGTTGTGCACCAGCTGCAGTTTCCACGTCATCTTCAAGGGCCCTGCTGTTTGTCCACCTAGCCACTACTGTTTGCTGAATGAAAAGCCATTCCATCTTGCCAATATTCAATCTCAGTTTATTCTGTCTCATTCAGAACTTTTCAGCTACTAGGTTTTGGGTAAGGGCATCCACAGCCTCTTCTATTCAGCCCAGGGTGATGTTTAACTAGGTATCATTAACACATTGAACTTCACCCCAGACCAGTGGATGACCTCCCCAAGTGGCTTCATGTAGGTATTAAATAGCATGGGGGACAAAGAGATCATGGGCTTAATCACTCATCTCCCAATGCTCTTAACTAGATTATGAAGGCATGCTCAGGCTACAGACATACAACCGTTTGGCCATTATTCTTGCTCCCCTGCCAGTTATAACCTGGGTTCTTTCCAAGGAGGAAGATGTTGCCTTCAAGCATCCGTAACAGAGAATACTTAGCATCTCACCAAACTTTAACTCCAGCCATTCCTTCGTGGAAGCCATAACTGTGACTATATCACTATAAATGTATGTGTTGAGCCTCTTAGTAGTGTTAGAAAGCCCATGGAAGAATTGCTTGGCAGTTCTCCCCATTAAGTAGTGCATGTGCTATGTTAAAACCCCTCGTATTCTGTTTTGTAAGCCTTTGTCTCTACAGCTGGCATCATGATCCTGGTGCTAAGAGTGGCTCACTGCATGTGTGCTAAGAATACAAGCATAGTGTTACAAAATGTGATCGCGTCCAAAGGAAGTCGCTTACAGAAATTTGTGCTGTTCTCTCTGAAGTGCAATGTAGTAAGTGTTAATGAGATTGCTGTGCATATATTAAACAGTAATTGAGGGGAGGGGAGTTCAAGGACGGGGGGGAGGGAAAGAGAGAGAGATCTGAATCAAGTCATTTGTAATTAGGTCAGATTTATTATCTTCTGTCAAGAAATATGGGGTAAGGTCTTCATCTTGCACCCCTCCAAAGCTGTTTGAACAATAAAATTTATATTACTCCTAGACTTACATCTCTGTTAACAAATTGACCTAAATCTTGTGCTAACCTTAAGACCAATTTTCTGCACACTAATTTCAGGAAGAATTTAAGTGGACTTTTATGAGCCAGGCTTCCCAAGCATGATGTGGGCAGGACAGCCTTTATAGATAAACCTGCAATTCTAGGCACATGTGAATTGAATAGAGTTTTAATGAACCCAGGAAGGCTTGTTTCCAAGCAGACATTCACAGGTTAAGGCAATATGTGTACAGAGACAAAGCTCAGGCTGTATCATTTTTAACTTTATAAATCAATGAATGGGATATACAGATAAATATACAAGTAATATCAGATCCCTCTCTGTTATCACAATCCCAGCCTGGATTTTCAGTAGATGAGTATAGAGGTAGTCCTTGGCTTAAGACCACAACTGGGACCAGAACTTCCATCGCTAAGCACTGCAGTTGCTAAGTGAGTTGCACCCAATTTTATGACCTTTTTCGTCACGGTCAATAAGCAAATCACTGCAGACGTTAAGCAAAACATGCAGTCATTAAGCAAATCCTGCTTCTCCCATTGACTTTGCTTGTCAGAAGCCCCCTGGAAAGGTTGCAAATGGTGATTACATGACCCCAGGACACTGCAACCATCGTAAATACATGCTGGTTGCCAAGTGCCCAAATTTTGATCACATGACTGTGGGGATGCTGCAACAGTCGTAAGTGCGAGGACGGTCATAAGTCACTTTTTCAGCACTGTCATAACTTTGAACTGTTAAGCAAATGGTCATAAGTCGAGGACAACCTGTAGTCACTTTTGTTTAAGGGTTCTAGTCAGTTCTAAGCATAATGGATTGGTCTGTCATTTTATCTACAGGTGGGAATAGAGACATACATATATGGTGATACCTAGTTTTATAGAACTATTAAATACGGAAGTTTGTCATCCCTGCAATTTGGGTCATTTGTGTAACAATGTCATTATGCAAATGATGTAGATTGATGCAAATGTCACCATTTGTGTTGTCTGTGTAATAATTATGCAAATGACCTAAACTGCCATGGGTGTCAAAAAATTAAAATAAAATTAGAATAAATTAAATGGCCTCATGTGGACAACTTCGGATGCACTGTCTGAAGTTTTGTCTTGTTTTGATGGGAATTGGTGGAATGGTCAGATAGAAATGTGGTCCAGTCATCTAAGGTTTGCTAAATGGGAATTTGTTAATTTCATAGTGTAGGTGCCTACGTATGTATATACGCCTAGACGTGCACACAGAGAGATACAGATACCCTCTCTAAACATCAGAGTGAATGTCAGAATCCACTTTCCTTTTTATATAAAACCATAAGGACAGATGTCAGGAAGAACACAGCTGGATCCGGCCAGTGGCCCACGTGGGCCAACATTCTGTGGCCACCAGGATGCTTTCGGTGAAGCTCACGAACCAAGCAGGAGACCAGAAATCCTTCTCTGCCGTTGCATCTTAGCAGCTGGTAGTCAAGATAACCCTTCTATAATTCCCGAGACAACATCAAGAGGAATACTCATTGAATAGGTTTTTTTAGAGTTGGGCAGCTGTGGTAATACTGACCAGTAAAGTTTGTGGAAGCAATTGTCCCAGACAGATGTGATAACATTCACCAAGGTAATCATATGCATACATGCAAAATTCATTAGTAACCATGCTGTTAATCTTACCCTTTCAACTCTGTTTACTGGTTTTAGCAGTTTCCCCTGTAATGTAACTGCTGTAGTTCTAAGTGCGCAAAATGAAAGGTGTTACATTAATTTGTGTAAATAGGTTTATTAAAGAATAAATTCTGGAGTATCTATTTTCCATTTGCATGAAAAAGCCTGTTTGATTCACACTGTTCCAAAGGTGTTTTTTACACCTTTTAATAAAAGAATAGAAAAGATTATACTTAACTAGCTTTCTCAATCACTGGATCTTGGCACTTTTTAGCTCACCTGTAAAAGCACATTATAAATAGCTTTTTCTGTTCTCAAGGTGTTCATTATACCTCACTTTTCTCGTTTTGCAAAATGCAAGTGCAACTTTTTTTACATTGTCCTCAAGATGAATAATTTCTTGCTCTGGGCAGAGTAAGTTTTGTTTACCAGCATTTTACAATTGCCTTGTTTTTACTTTCCTGTATTTGGCATCTGACTCCACCTTCTTTCTCTCTCTCGGTTTGACCAACTGGGAACGCCGGCTGCTTCCTCTTAGGGGAGCAAGCAGTTGCTGAACAATTACCCCGTCTTCATCACTAGCAAACAGTGGGACGAGGCCGTCAACTCTTCCAAGAAAGATGGACGACGGCTCCTTCGGTACCTCATCAGATTTGTCTTCACAACCGATGAGCTTAAGTACTCGTGCGGCCTTGGAAAAAGAAAAAGGTCAGTGCAGTCAGGAGACACTGGTCCTGAAAGACGCCCTCTGGATCCAGTGAAAGTAACATGTCTCAGAGGTACTGCATCTTTTCACTCAATGTCCACCATGCACAATCTCATTTCACCACATTAGCTGTACTAGGAGAAGGGAGGGTCCTTCGGGGAAATACGAGAAGTCCTGGGGCTTAGATGGAGCTGCCCTTTAAAGAGAAAGCGACTGATCTGTCACCTCCCTTTGGATCCTTTCCTCCAGGGCTCTCTGCCTGAGGATTGAGGAAATCCTCAGGAGAACAGTGATGGGTGGTGGGAATCTTCTCTCCCTGTAATGTGAAGCCCCTGTGATAGGTTCTCATGGGCTGCTGCTGCTAGGCCCTAATGAGGTCCTACTGGACCAATCAATGACACCTCGCACCTTCATTCCCCACTGAGCATGAATTGAGCATATCCCCCCCAACACACCCTAAGAACTACTGCAGCCTGCTAAAAGGTAAAGCCTCCTTCAAGCCAGTCTGACTCTTTACGGCTTCATGGACACATCCATATTGTTTTCTTGGCAGTTGGTACAGAAGTGGTTTGCCAATCTCTTCTTCAATTTTCTTTCTCTTTTCTTTCTTCCAAGTCTCTTCTATAGCTCTGGAGGTCTCCCATCTGAGTACTGCCCAAGCCCAACCCTGCTTACCTTTGTAGCCCAAACAAGGTTGGCTAGCCTGCCAATCTTCCTTAATGGGCAAAATAATGCATGAAATATTCATGAAGATAGAATGTTTGAAAATCATTTAAGTAATAGAACATTATTTCACAAACTCAATAGTTATTAATGTTTTGGAAGTTTTCACTTGGTTCAGTAATTTGCAGTATAATAAATGCACATAGCCACCCATTAGATGGAGAGACCATTTTCTAAAGTTGCCCTTTTCATTATAGCAGAATATTATGGTTCAGATAGCTTTGACAGAAATAGAGGAGCTCTTAGTCCAAACTCAGTTGATCAAAGTCCTCTCTAATGGATTAAAATTAGCCCTATTTAATTAACTATTTTTTAAAAGCAGAACTAAAACTTTGCTTTAAAATGGATTGAACATACTTACCTGCTTTTCATGAGTTATGTTATAACGTATTTCAGCAAGCCAGATGATAGCCAATGAATAAATAAAATCTCAAAGCCTCAATCCAGGCATAGTTGCACAAAGCCAGTCATCCCCCTCACTGAGCACCATCTGCTTGACAGATGCACCTGAGAATATTGATGCAGGGTGGAGCAACAGTGTGAAATTGGTGCAAAGGCACGGTTTCTTCTCTCCCTGAACCTCTTCCACGCAGAAGTGTTAAACTGCAATGGTGTGGTCACTTCATCTTTGGTTGGTCTGAATGTTTTGTATCGAAGTTGTGAGATGTGAAACGCTAACAATCCATAAAGCAGCAGGACGAAAAGCAGATGCTTCCCTGGGCTGTGGCTTTGATACTGTATACCAGCTTTGGTTTAGTGAGATGCAATAGCATTTAGACCCAGAAGTTGACTTTCGCCCATCTGGATGTGACCATTGTGCAAATAGCTCTGGTGGGCTGATGCCCTTGAAACACGATCAGGCAGATCCCCTGACTGCCCCCTCCATCCCCAGCAGCTGTGCAACCACCATAGCCATTAGCTTCCCTTTCACTCTGGTCACAAATTGGCTTTGCTAGCAGTTAACCACAATACTGCAGCCCTGCAGGGGCTGGGGAGATGAACGGGCCTCTGTGGTCCATCCCCTTCCCATTACAGGGTCACTGTGCCTGCCTGATAAGCCCACGCATGATCCAGAAGCTGGCAGTTAACTTCCCACTCTGGAATTTATCCCGCAGGAGAAAGAAAGGGGCAGGCGCTAAGCCGATGGCTGGCTCCCCAACTTACTCAAAGATTATCACTGTTTGCGGACAAGCCCTGGCACAGTTTGTTATTTCTGTTGAGATGGATGCATTTTATTAAGCCTTGGTTCTCCCGCCACAGCGATCACGAGTAGTCGGGCCATGTCCAGCTGCTGAGATCTTTAGGCATTGTTAAGAAATACAATAAAAATAAAAATGTCAGCATAAGGCACGCATGCACACCCAGAGAGAGTGTTAAATACATGCATACTGTTAAGTGGAAAAAATAATAAGGATCTAAAATTTGAGCATGAAACCTAGGCCAAATCACACTCTTGGCCCACTCTTTGTTATGCAGATGTGACCAGGCAGTAAAGATAATAAATGGACTTTTCTTGCCCAACTGGGACAATATTATGCAGGCAAGAAGAAAATCAGTATCTCCATTGGGCCGGGCACTCCATATCATATGCCCACTTCTTGGTCTTGGCAACTAAGTCCATTTCCAATCATAGCTCAGCTTTTTCTTTTGGCAGGGTGGGAACCATCTCCCCATACTTCTCACATTATAGAAGATATTTGTCCTCCCAACCTCATTTGGTTGAGAAATCTGATTGTAGGAATCCGTTTGTTCATTGCTGGATGTGAGAAATCTGCTGGACTAACCTAAATATTTTTGAGCAGTTGTGTCCAACCCAACTATAAATGTTTTGGCATTGAATTCTTTTTTCCCCGAGAAGGACTCTGTAGGCCACTAACCCTTTCCCCATATTTTGATCTCCAAAACTGTTGGGCTTCAACTTAAAGAGCCGTATTGGCTGAGGAGTATGGGAGTTGCAGTGCAACAGATCTGGAGGCCACCAGGTAGAGGAAGGGTGCCTTGGTCTTCCAAAGCAATCGCCCGTTTAAACAACAGTAACAAAAAATGGTAAGAGTCTCATGACATCTGAAAGACAAAATTACTGTTGTTTAAATTTCCAGAGATGACATGGGTCTGTCCCATCAAAGCTTGCAAAAGCTTAACTCTTTGTATTGCCACAGAACTCTCGTTGTGTTAGATCCTCACACAATTCTGATTAAATGCTAAGGAGGAAAGGAAGCATTTCCTTTCTGCTGCCCAGCTTTCAAAAAGCTTTCAAAACATGACATTTTTGCCAAATAGATTGAGTCCAATTGTATGACACGACTGATATTCTGGAAATTTGAGCTTTCAGTTAAAAGAGAAATGAATTTGTCATGGTAGTTTTTTCACAGTGCTTAAAAATCAAACTTCTCTCCAAGACCATTTCCTGTGTTAAAAAGCGAGGCTGCCTTCACGCTGCAAATTTGTAGTATAGGAAAAGTACAACATGCGAAATAGAAAGGCAGAATTTAGCTGCCAAGGGGCCTTTTCTTATTCCTTTTTTAAAAGGATTCTTCTGGTTGCTGTGATTTCAACCAAGCACTTGCAGGTAGCTGGGCCAGGCCTGGAGCCATCTCAAAAGCATTTTTGAGGCGTTAAGTTTCTCGGGTAGCATATTTTCTCCATTCCCCCGCCTCAGAAAAAACCCCACCAGGATAAATTGCATGAAACGCATGAGCTGATGAGCCAGTTTTACAAAACAAGAAAAGCTATATTGGGTTGTCCTACCTCCTTTTGGGGTGCTGAGATTTATTTTTACTTTGTAACGTAAGATAAACACCGTCCTACTCAGTAATTCATACCTAAGTTTCAAAACACTTCTCCTACTCCTGTCTTGGCTCCGTGGCTGTTGTTGTTCCTCCACATCCCATGCATTACATCCCGTCATTCCTCTCCCTCCAACAACCCATTTGCTAAGCAAAGATGCCCAAACCATCTGGAAATTGTTCAGCCATCTTACACAATTTGCTCTGTTTTGGGTATTGTATTACAATCCCCCCTAAAGGCCGCCAGCTGAAAGTCAAATGTGTAGGTGGTATCTGCAGGGGTATCTACCAGCTAAGAGCTGTGCGACCACTGTGTGTCCTTCTGTCCCTGGCCCAGGTAGCAAGATACCGTTCTATGCCCTCGGAGCTAATTTGCTAATTTCCCTGCAGAATTCATTAGGATGCACTGTACCACTAATCCAGACTGGTGGATGCCTTCCGAAGAACAGATCAACAAGGTGTTCAGTGATGCTGTGGGACACGCTCGGCAAGGGCGGGCAGTGGGGACTTTCCTCCACAACGGGAACTCGTACTATGACGGGATTGATCCACATAGTTCGCACGATGACCTCTTCAGTAGAGGTATCCATGATGGCTCTGGAGACTGATGGCAGGAAGGAAGGAGACCCACCCAGATACGCAAGTGAGAGACCGAGACGGTGTGTTCAGTGTTCCGTTTTAATGTGACTTAAGAATCCAAAGCATGTTGAAGGTTCAGTTTTGTCCAAGGCGGTGTGTGTAAAGTAGCCTTCCCTAGCCACATGTGCTGAGCTACAATTCCCATCATCTTCCAGAGAGTGTGGTTTTGCTGTCGTGGACACCAGATTGTGGAAATCTGGTCTGAAATCTAGTCTTGCAAGCAAATAAGGAGGTAACCTGTTTATGAGCATTTTTTACTGTATTCCCACCTCCCACTTTTTTTCTTTTTCTTTTTTAACATGGTAGAATCTATTCTTTACTTTTCTCAGTTGTTCGTATCGTTGGTTCTGCAAGCCTGCAGCAATTCCTTCAGGGGCACTGCGTCTCACTTGCCGCTTGGATGAACTAGCCTGAATGTCGAAAACCGACTTCTCATTGAAAACCCTCTCTCATTTCATCACAAGAACAGCCAAACCTGCAATCTTTCTCCTTTTCCATTTATTTTGAGTTATGCGCATTTCTGAAACCGAACCACAGAAGCTCTTTATAATTGACTAGAAATGTGTAGTATTAGCATTTCATTGTAACCGAAAGATATCAAAATCAGGAGTATAGATCCATGGGGGGGGGGGGCAGGGGGATCTGTTTTGTTTTGAGAGAGTTGTTTACTTATCCATAGTCAACATTTGTGTTTATTTTTGACTTTGAAAATAGCTTGAATTTCCCCCGATTCCAGTAGGCTTGCATTAGTAAATCAAAGCACTGTTAAGAGAGGGTGTGCATCATGCTGCAGGCTTCCTGTCCTGATTTCATTATGTGCAATCATGGTTTTGCGTGTGCCATCCCTTTCTCATTCTTTTTCCTTTGCACAAACACCACTGCACGCAGTTGTGCGGAGAGCCCCGGGAGACAACTGATTTAGTGAGTAAAGAAGGTCATTGACTCTGTCTCATTGACCAAGAGCCAAGCAAAGACCTCTTGAGTGGATAGCAACAGTAAAAAAAAAAAGAAGGGATTTTTACTTGCTTCAATCACTCATTCTTGTTTTCTTGTCAACTGAAACTAAAAGACCGGAGCTTTTAGGAAATAAGATCCCAGTGATATTAACTGACTCCATTTAAAGACCATCTGTATAAATTAAAGGTAAAAGGCTAAATGTAGGTGCCACATTTACCCACAAGGAAGACAACCCTGAATATGACCTTATAAAGAAACATTAGACGGGGGGGAAAATCATCTATTTCCATTACTGTATTCTCTTTGAATCTAAGATGACCACCTATTTGAAAGATGAATTATTGGCAGGATGGGGGGATCTTGTCCTTTTGAATAAATAGATTAGAATATCTTTAAATAGATTAGGTCAAAAAGGGGCTGATTCTTTTTCTTTAATTATCACATTAAAAACTAGACTAATCTCCTTACTCTTGAGAGAAGCATTCTTCAGGTTCTTCCTCTTCCATAACGATTTGGATCCCAATGTGGGCCGGTGTGCAGAGAAAGGTCATTCTTCTGCTGGACCCTTAACTCCCACTGACTTTTTCCTTGCCCCGTCACCATTCCTAAGGGTCTTCTGGACCTTCAGTGCAACTTTCTGGTGGAGGTTGTGAACGGCAGTGGGAAAGAGAGAATGGAAAAGGCCGCCTCTTTGACTCCTAAGCAAGGTCCAGCAGCTCAAGTCTTCCCCATCTGTTGTGAAAAACACAACATTGGAAAAATGTTTCCTTTGCCACGTTGCACTGTTTTATTTACTCCACCTGTTCGTGCTCTCTTCCAAGGCAAAAAAATAAATAAATTTAAAAATCCACTAAATATGTGAGGTCTAATTATATAGTGCCTGTAAGGATTTGGAATTAGGATGCTGCCACCCTCAAGGCATTTTGTCCATCTCACAGCCATGTGCTAACATCAGCACGAGAGTAGGGAAACGCAAATAGACCAAATTGCTCTGTCACTCTTGGGAGCACAAAAGGAGTATTTCCTTGGCCTGTCCCAACATCACAACCAGCCTGTGATGAGAAGTTAGACTAACTTGGAGAAACAGTGTGGTCTAGGGGTTAAGGTGTTGGATTAAAACCAGAGACACCCAGGTTTAGTCCATCCTAAGCCATGGAAATTTACTGGATGATTTTGGGTCACAGGAGCTCTTTCAGCCCCACTGGTTGGCTGTTACAGGAATAAAATACAGGAGATCCCCATAGGGCGGCCTTGAACTCTTGGAGAAGAGGCAGGGTAGAAGTTTAATAAACAGTAAAAAATGGTCTGTGTGGATCAGTACAATTTCATATCCTATTAGCTTCCAAGCCACTGGAGTATTGCACGAGTTTCTTCTAGACTCTGCAATATTTTAACTACAGCCATCTTGGCAAATTGGCAGACCCAGAGACAGCTCACGTTCGAGAGAGTACATACAGTAGATCCCTTTTATGACACGATCAAGTCTGAACAAGAAGCAAGGCAAGATTCAAAGCCCATTCACACAGGTAAAGTGGCCAAGCCCTTGGGATATAATCATCTGGGACTGTTAGCTTCACCCCTTGATTTGGGGGAAGAAAGTGCTATGACTGAGAGAAACAATAGGCAGGGTACCATTATCACTCTTGACTATGAAGACCACCTTTTAGTATGTTTGGAAGCCTGTGGCCTTCCAGGAGTTGCTAAGTGCGATTCTCAGTCTCCCTCCTCTTTGGCCATGTTGGCTAGAACAACAGCAGCAACAGCTACAGACACTCTGCATTCTAGTCTTCTGCAGATGTGCCTAAATGGGGAAAATTTGCTTTATGCCCATTATCTTTGTGTGCATGTGTGTGTCTGTGCGTGCCTTTGAGTTAGTGTTGATTCCTTGTAACTGCCTGGACTAGTCCCAGCAGTTTTCTTGGCAAGATTTTTCGGAAGTGGTTTACCATTGCCTCCTTCCTAGGGCTGAGAGAGAGTGGCTGGCCCAAGGTCACCCAGCTGGCTTTATGCCTAAGGTGGGACTAGAACTCACCGTCTCCCAGTTTCTAGCCTGGTGCCTTGACCACTACACCACACTGACTCTCCCTTACACCCACTGTAGCAGTCCTTTTCTAGCTGTAAATAATACATAATTAAAATATCTATTTTTTAAAAGTGTGTTTTGGATTTTTTTTTTAAGTTGGAACAGCATGATCCAAAACAGGAAAAAAAAAAAAGGTAGATATTTTCACAGTGCAACCCTCTGGATGTCTCTGGATGTCAGGCCCATTGAATATAGTGACACTCATATAGAAGAGGTTAGGTTTGTGGTTGGAAGCCTGGCTGATTGCAACTTCCTGCCCGCTCATTTTCATTTAAATCAATAGGAATAGAAGGAGCTTAACTTTTAATCTCTCCATTCTTTAAAACCTTATTTGGAACAACTGTCATCTTCACATCTTAATATAATTTGAGGGGTTTTTTTCCCCCTCATGTGTTTCTAAATCGAATCTGCTAATAATCAGTAGAACATCAAGGCCACAAGAAAGCCGATACAAAAAAATAAACATATCTATTCTTCCAAAACTGCAGCATTTCTGTTCTAGCTGTTTCTTGTTGTATGTGACAAATACCTCAAATACCACATTACTTCTGTGGTGTAGACCTTGGTGGTGTACATTTCCTGTGATGACACCTGCCCATCTATTTGGTGAAATGTGTCTGATAGAATGCACGATTCCACATTTATCCACTGTATAATGTCATTATAATGCATTTTTGTATTAACTGTGTGAAATCCAATGTTTGTATATAGTGTGAAGTACATTCCATTTGAATTAAGCACATCAAGCTTCATAGAGAAGACCTCACTAAAGCAATACCAGATGGGATTTGCTAAAGCCATGGTTAAGCCTGGCTCTCATTTAATAGGAAGTTATCTTCCAATTCCTATCTTGGCTCCAATGATACGTTATAAAGTACAGCCGGGATATAGCTTCTATGGTTCTAGCCTTATCGCCAGCTTTATAAAGAACACCCACATGGCTCCAAGCCAAAGGGAAGGACTATCAGCCACTAGCAAATTGCTTCTTCCTTGAGGGCAAGGAACACTAGCGTGGGAAGCAACCACCTACTTTACACAATCCTGGTGGGATAGCTTGACCATTTGATTATTGGTATGACTAAGGGTTGACCTTATTTCCAGGCAAAACAGATAAGGTAAAGGTAAAATTGACCCTTATATTCGAGTCTTGCCTAGCATCATGGGCCTCCACCCTGGCTTGAGCAATGTGGGGGGGGGGGGAATAGATTCTTTTTCATCTTTTCCTGGAAACTGGAGATGTGGCTCAATATGGAACACGGATCTTCTAATCTTGCCAGTACGGCACTAGGGAAACTATGCTACAGTAGCTTTTATGCCCCTAGTTTGGACCCACTAGAATGCTGTTACTCCCAGTATTGTAGGCAGTTACAAATTTTGAGCAATACCCTTGTATGCATTTACATTGTATATAAAATTGCTAAATGATGAAGAACTACCATAGGAAAAAGACCACGGAATCCTACCAAATAAACCAAAACCTGCCTGGGATTCCAGAAAGTTTGAAACTTTTGCCTTTGTTGCGGGAGAACCTCAGATTTAGAACCTGTCGTTTCAGACCTGGTCATGAAAGGCAGTTCCTGTTACATCTCAATCCACTTAATTTCAGCTCTTCACAAATACAGTAGTAGAAATTGATCTGTTATCTAATTTTTAATATTTAAATATACAGTGGGGCAAAAAAGTATTTAGTCAGCTACCAGTTGTGCAAGTTCTCCCACTTAACAAGATGAGAGAGGCCTGTAATTTTCATCATAGGTATAC